ACTTATTCCTTATTTTTGAATTTAATTTATAGTTTTTTTTATTTTCATATGTGGCTATGAGTATTAAATTAACTTATTTGGTTAGTAAAGTTGCAAAATTATATACTATGTAATTTTAGTATTATATGTGAAAAGTTAAAGCTAAAAATTAATAAGACAAGATAAAATATTTAAAAACAGAATATGATAGAACAGAGCCAAATATAATCAGAATAATAAAAACAAATATGTTGATTGCTTTTATATCAGAATACTTTGAATATAAAATTGCGATTTGGTATTATTAATTCTACTTTACAGTATTTATATTTTGTCTTGATGCATTTAATATTTAGCATTTTCCACTTATATCATCATATAAATTAATAAAATATACAGTACTAGATATTGTTTTACAATCTGATATTTTTATTAAATAATAGGTTTTTAGAGATATATTTTGTATAATAAAATTATGCTTAAGTTTGTTCACAAATTTTAATATTATAAACACCATTCTGGTTATATCGATATTTCAAAAAAAAAAGTAAATTGTCTGATATATCCAAATATCAGATTAACCTATTAAATATATAGATTCAAAATTTTAAAAAATATTAGTATAATACATATAATGTTAATAACCAGTAATGTATAATAAAATTAAAATTTTAATTCTTGTGAGACTTTAGTGATCACGATCTTTGCATATTATCATCTTTTTAAAAATATACAAACTTTAGAGATATTAGAAATATTTAAAATTCTATTTATGAAGGGTTTTCTGCAATATTTTTAAAAAATTGTTTAAAGGGCAGTAAAAAATCTTTTTAAATTTATATAAATTAAACTATATAAAATTGGCCAATTATGTTTTACTTCGAACATCAATTCCTAGGTCCGGATTTGCAGAACATAAGGGTACTCCTAAATGACTGAGAAGGTAATTTAACATACATTATTTGATGTTCTAACACTTTTTAACCAATAAAAGTTGATTACAGAATAAATGCAAATTTTTATATGTTAATTATAACTCTTTTGGAAGTTAAATTTTATTAAGCTAGTTAATATTTATGCTTTAAGTAGAGCTTCAAAATAACAAATTGCATATACTCCAAAAGTTTCATATAATTTGAATAACCTTTTGTTAATTCACTTTCACATTTATGGAAGATTAAGAATTTTCTTATTTAAATGTGTAAAATGCGAAAGCGAATTAATAAAAAGTTATTCAGATTATATGAAGCTTTTAGAGTATATGCATTTTTTATTCTGAACAACTTAAGACATAATGTAAATAATGACTAGCTTATTAAAACTTATATATACTGTATATGGATCTACATTATCAAATAACTTTTTTAGTTATGAAAATTTTAGACACAAATGACTCAAATGACCAAATGACCAAATGACCAAATGAGGTCATTATTTGATGACTTGGGGTCATTTAAATTTTGATCAAATGACCAGGTCATTTACCATCCCTGCATCCGATATTTGCTTTCTACAGTACAAGGGCTTCGAGTTTTATTGGTGCTAGGTTATTACGCAAGAGTAATACAGAATATTAAAAGTACTTTAATATAATATAAAAAAAATTTATAAGTTGTGTAACGTTAAACAACGTTCTACATAGGAGGCACTGTCCCTGCTGTTGGGCATGCCTCAAGGTCAAAGGGCATTGCCTTGTCATGTGATATATAAAGCATGCAATAAGGTTAGATACTAAATCAACATATGGGAGGTGTCAATAGAAACCAAGCAAATTGTTTCTAGGTAAATTTTTTTAAACATTAAGTTAAAATATCTAAACACTATTAAACCAAGCTTAATAAAAAATTTTTTATTTTAATTTTATAACAATATAGAATAAAATAAGATAATAGTTGTTTAGATATTTTAACTTAATGTTTAAAAACAATTTACATAGAAACAATTTGCTTGGTTTCTACTAACACCCCCATATGAAGTTTTTAGAATGTTGTACTATATGTTAGTCACATGATTTAGAAAGGGCATGCCCATGGGCATAAGGGGCATGCCTCTGCACAAGGCATGCCTCTATGGGCATGCCTAATTTTTTTCCCGTACCCTAAACCCTACTTTGGACGTCAAAAATGTACATCCCTGGGTGTCGCAAAAGAAAACCCTGAAATTGTTGATTTCCGAAATTTTATTTTAGAAACGAGCTTATCAGATTCTGATAAGCATTCTAGATTTTTCTCTTTGCGACACTCAAATCGACTTTTTTATTTCATTTGAGATTCCCAATTACATTTTTCATTTGTGAGGTTCACGATTTAATTGGCTAATAAATATGATAAACATCACTTTTGCGTAACATTACACGGCAACTATTATATAAAACTCGCATGCATATGGTTCATTTAATAATTATGAATAACATGTTTTCTCTTGTAAATCAAAATGCTGAAAAGCAAGCATTTGTGGATAAGGCTAGGTCAGAACGTGAGAAACGGGAATTGCAACGTGTCAAACAAAAACAAGAACAAGAACATGCTCAAGCTGCCGATATGATACAAACGGCATTTAAAAAACACTGCCAAAGAAAGAAAGATATCAAACATCTACGAGAACTATGGGATATCGACGTCCTATACACTAGTGACAATGGGTCAAATTCAACATTTTCTATATCCTCAACTGAAGTTCTTGGTTTTTCATACTTGATGTTTGCTTTCTTCAATCCGTCCGATGATGCAAAAGATCTTTCAAGATTTTCGCATCTTTGCAAGATGATTTTATCCACAACTACTCCTTCAACACCTGCAAAGTCTCAAACACAAGAGACTTCACAGTCTGTTGTACCATTTCATTCTCTACTGCTTAATGAACGATACAAAGTGTTGATGTTGAAAATCATGAAAAAAATACTTTGGCAATGTGTCATTTGCGTTACCGGTTCTTTGAATGAAACTAGTGCTTTAAATTCTTCTAAACCTTTGTATCTTTCTGGCCCGGAATTACGACTACTTATATACTTTCTTGATCCTAAAAATTATATTGTCAAAGGAACAATTTCTTCTTATTCTCCCATGTGGAATCAGCAACTTGTAATGCTTTATGATTATCTTATTCATCAAGGATTTTACAAGCAAATTGGTTATGGAATAATGTTGCGTGTGAATTCCATTCTTTCTTTTCAATTAAGGGCTGCAAAAGCTGAATTAATGGACTATGATAAGAAATTACTAAAATCAACTCAATTATGGCTAATGGCATGTCTTCGATGCTGCTTATTTCCTTTGGATTTAAATAATAAAGCTGACATGACATTACACTCATTCAAAATGTCTCAAAGCAATTTACAAGATCGTTCAATAAATAACCTAAATAATTTTATTTGTTATATATTGACAATCCCCTGTTTGATATCTTGTTTTGATGGGATCTGTTTAGAAATGTTCAAAACTTATAATATTTTATCGCGAGTAATTCACACTATGTGTATTCCTGATATTGCTGTCAAAATATTGCAAATTATTACAGGTAATGACACTATATTTCTTGCAGGAAATATGGTAGAACTCATGTCAAGAATAGATATACTTTCTCTTCCAAATAACAAAGTTGAAATAACATTTCATAATTTTATCGAATCAATCATTTTTCTGTTACAACATTGTCAAAAGTTTGTTTCTACTAAACAATCTAACACCCATTACCATTACCATCCTGTTTTTACTTGGTATTCTGGGACAACTGATCCAAATATTTCGACATCTCATTTCAATAGATTAATAACACAACTTGAATATCTATGGCAGAAACCATTTTTACTTCGATCATTTAATCCCGTCTTGAATTTTAAATTCGACTCTCAACTTAATAATAATCTCGACTCTTCCAAAATAACATCACAGAAAAAAACTTTAATCGACAAAAATTCAAGTTTAACTTCTAATCAAATAACACTTCTGGCCGTCGAAACTCAAGATATTTGTCGCCTTTATCTTATGCTTTCAAAATTATTTATCATGCAAAAACATGACATCATGATGAACTTGATATTCCTTCCGCGTCTTGTGCCTACCTTATGGCAATTTATGATGTGCTTAGGTCCTAAAGGACGAATGAAGATTTTTTTATCCGAAACTGTAGTTAAAGAACCTGAAAAGGAACCATTAATCGGGATTTTAGAGTTATTCTGTGAAATTTGTGGTATATTATTATTGTTAGTATAAATCTTTAATGTATAAAATGAATCCGTCAAACTTTTTTTAAGTTGGCTAATTAAATTTTTGTTTTTAATTAGAACCATTGATGATGATGAATTATATGAAATGCAAACTCCTTTTTCAATTGAGCGTGATTTGAAACCTATGGCCATATTCTTTAATAAATTTTGCTTTGCTCTTCTTAGTAATTCACCACCAAATGGTAATCCTCCTACAATATTTGAATCTGCACGAAGGGTGCTTCTCCAATTGCATTTGCGCGACACTAGGCGCGTATTTACTGGCCCGGATCATACTTGGCTTCTTATTAAAGATCCCAAAATATCTTTACCATTGTCTTTAGCAAACTTTCTCAAAAAATCTTATGCAGTAAATCCCAATAATTCAATGGGAACTTCATTTTTAGAACGTATTCGTAACAATGACCCTATTTCCGTAAAAATTCTCAACCTATTACCTCATACTATCCCTTTTGAAACCAGGCTCGATATTTTTCGTGAATTCTTGCAAACTGATGATTCTTGCATCAGTGATTGGTCGGATACTGTAATAAAAATTAGACGCGATCATGTGTTGGAGGATGGATATAAACAATTAGGAAAATTAACTGCAACGAAGATTAAAGGCCGGATTCGAGTTATGTTTGTAAATGAAACTGGTATTTTTTTTTTTTTATTAATGCATTCAAACTCCATTAAAGACCGTCCATAAAAGAATGCTTTCTATATAGGAACATAATTTAATCATAAACTGGATATTCTGATATTCTTGTAGGTATGGATGAAGTTGGTGTGGATCAGGGAGGCCCGTTTAAGGAATTTATTACTCAACTTATAGCCGAAGGTTTGTGTATAATAAATTCACTTTAGTAAATTGATAATTAATGTGGTGAATAATGTTTAGCATATTAAATAAATCCAGCTTTTGATCCAAAATGTGGCCTTTTTGCCGTTACTCCTGATGGCACTCTTTATCCCAATCCTCATAGTGCATCTACAAAGTTACCATTATATACATTTTTGGGTCGAATGATTGCAAGAGCGATGAAAGAGAAAATCCTATTAGACTATCAATTTGCAGAATTCTTTTTAAGCAAAATTTCCGGGCGAGCAGTGTTTTTGGAAGATCTTATTGGTTGGAATAATGAATTATGGAAAAACCTAATATTTTTGAAGAGATATGAAGGTGTGCAATATTTTATATTAGTCCTTACTTCTAAATTTTTTTCCTTTATTATTATTATTAGGCCACACAAAGTTTGATTTTTCGTTTTGCATTACATGAAATTCTAAAATCTGTACGGCGGGCGGATTTTTTTTTTTTTTTTTTTTTTTTTTTTTTTTACAATTTGTTTTTATTTTGAACGTCACCAAAGGAAAACCAGACCTCGGGCTTACGATTTTATTTGTTGCAGACATGTTTTAGTTCAGTAAATTTATTAATTTAAAGGCCCGAAGTATAGTTTTCGCTAATTAAGGAAAAAATAAACAGCAAAAACGGAATAATTAGCATAATTGAAACTCCAAAAAAAAAAATAGGGATTTTGAAAAATTTGGGTCGGTGGGTAATGCAAAACGAAAAATCAACATTGCATGGCCTTATTATTAAATCTGGTTTAATTTTTAGGAAATGTTGAAGATTTAGGTTTATATTTCGTAATAGATGAAGAGATTAATGGGCAGATTAAGTCAAAAGAACTTAAATCAGTATGTGCATATATTTGTATGTACAGGTTTTAAATTTAATGCTAATGTGTGTTTTTTAATACAGGGTGGTTCGCATATGGCTGTTACAAATTACAACCGAATTCAGGTTTGATTTGAAACTAATTCTGCAATCTTTCTAGTCAATTCTGACTTTAATTGTAAGTTATAATAACATTGTTGTAAATGTAGTATATCTACCTTGTGGCAAATTATAAATTGAATACGCAAATCAAGGAACAAACGGAAGCATTTATCAATGGGTTTGTATTTAAACAAATTTCATCCATATACTGTAAGATAATGAATAATTCTTAATTATAACGCTCCCTCAGTTTCCAATCAATGATATCAATAAATCGACTTAGAATGTTTTCACCACCAGAGCTGCAACGGTAAAAAAAATTTTTTTATTAGAATTGATTTTATTACCATACCAATTCTCTTAATATTAATTTAACCAGTGTGATGTCTGGAGAAGACATTAATTGGGGTAATCTTAAGTCTTTACAACTTATAATATTCTATTCTGGGGTTGATAACTTACTATAAACTACATCCCACTTCTCTAAATAGACGTAGCAGATTTACGCAAATATACTATATATCAATCTGGATATTTTGATCAGCATAAAACTATAAGAAATCTTTGGTCGATATTAGAAGAGTTTGATTCTAAAGACAAAAATGCATTTTTAAAATTCGTCACAAGTTGTTCGAGGGTATTTTTTTACATTAATATTCACAGAATATTATGCATTTAATGTTTGTAAAAATTGCTAATTCGAATCTCTTGTTTAGCCACCACTTGGCGGGTTTAAGTAAAGTGATTTTGTTTAGTTTCAATGTTAGTTATAGATGTATGTTTAATTACTATCGTTATAATGATTTACTAGATACTTGCAACCACAATTTACTATCCGCATGGTATCGATGGAATATGATGATTCTGAATCACGTCCTGTCCTTGCACCAGTTAAAGCATTTTTTAGTTTTGGAAATTCAAAATCGGCAGCTAAAGGAAGATTACCTACTAGTTCTACATGGTAAATATTTCATGTTTTTGTTAGCAATGAATGTATTATTAAATAGCTTTGATTATCAATATTTTTTTATTATCTATCTTATGCTTTCAAAATTATTTATCATGCAAAAACATGACATCATGATGAACTTGATATTCCTTCCGCGTCTTGT